TAGATTCTAACCCGTGCGATGCACTGTAAGAATATACCTTCCCACCTGTCAATATAGCCAAAGAAATTGAAATATCCCTTTATTGTTGACAGGGATATTTCAATTTCTTTGTCAACAATTTCCAATGCACAGATTAATGTATGATGATATATTTTTTTTGAATGTATATTTAGTCTTATACATACAAATTATGTGTTGTTTACGAAATCTCTATATACTATATCATTTTTTTCTAAGCATGATCCTGCAATAATATTACTTGTAAATAGAGCACGATAGAAATAAAAAGACCCCGGATTAAAATTATTTTTTCTGATTTTTTAGTCTTTTTCATTACTCATGTTGGTGTAAAAAATAAATTTATAGTACTATTTTTTAAATGTGAGTCATAGAATTTTTTTGCACAGTACTGAGTAATTATACATTCTGCATAATGTTATGTTGATGATTAGTCCCAAGGTAGACTTTCTGTTGCATTAAACTTTTCTATTGCATTACCTACTCTGATCTAATAAGAATGACTCCCCCAAGGTAGCATTAGTTGATCAAATATTTTTGATGAGAATTTCAGTTGTACGGAAATGTGTTAAACACTAAACCAAAATTTACTTATATCTTTAGATCGAATTTTGAAACATTGGTAATAAACTGCTATAGTCTATATATATATATATATATATATATATTAAAACACAATCTCATATTTTCTTAAAAAATCAAACAATCTCAAATTTAAAAGTCAGGATGAATTGTGATGGGGGCAGTTCATTTGGATAGCACAGATTGTATATTTTACTTGACTAATTTAAGATAAAAGGTTTGCTTGACTAAAAAAATATAGAGAAACTACAACTGAATATGATAAAAAAGACATCTGGTCGAAACATCTTTTACTAAAAAAAGTAAAGGTGATTCGTGATAATAATAATTAAGTTGGCACTATGTTTGTAAGTTGTATGTAATTAAAGTAATTGATTAATTGCTATTGTGTGTGTGAACATGCTTGACTATTTTAGACATTCAAAATAAGCATTATTAATCAACAGAGTAATTACAAACTTTTTGTATAAATAGCTAATGCTTCAAGAAATTATTATATCAACAACAACAACAACCTAGTTAAATCCCACAAGAGTAGAGTCTGAGGAGGGTGTGTGTACGCAGACCTTACCCCTATTTGAAAGTAGAGAAACTGTTTCCAAAGAGACCTCCGGCTCAACGTCGAAAGTTGCATTGCTTGACTAACTGCTACTTCATTAATTAAAGAAGCGCAGACAATTTAGAGATCCATTTTGATTTATTCCATCACATCCCAAAGCCTAAAAATGTTGAAATTTTGACTACATCGGAGATGATGGAAATCAAGAAATTATTATATCATGCTCATAAATTTATGTCCTCACGCGTTGTTTCCACTGTATTAATCACTATAACCGCCCATTTATTTACCCATCTCCTTTAAAAAATAAAAACCACCCACCCCCGTATAATTTTTTGACGGGAATAATTTTAAATAATATTATTCCTGCCTTCAAAAAAAAAATTATTATTCCTTCCTCACGTTTTTTTACACGGCTTAATTGTCTACCTGGCCCAATCCAACACTTGGCCCATTAATGACTACAACTTTTCCAAATTTTAGGAGGAAAAAATATCCATTTGCTTTTGTATATAGGTAGATTAGAATTGTGCAATGTCACAACTTGACATTGCATATTTACACGAGTACTGAAACAGCATTTTCTCTATATATTGATACACTTTGGCATTAAAAAATTATCCATTCTCAGCGCTCCGGTGCCCCGTTCGTAAAATTGACGGTTTCTACACCCCATAACTCTCCCGATAAACTCCTCACCCCACTCTGACCCGAACACACTGAGCGCTCCCGGGTCATCTCATGACATTGGTTCCCAATGTCATGGGAACCTTGCCCTATATTAGATTAAAATAAGGCAAAAAGAATCTCATTTTCCACAAACAAGAGTTCATACTTTTTAGAGTAAATTCCATAAAAGGTTTCCAGTTATAGGCCGTTTTACATATTTAGTCCCTACATATCAAATATTACTAATTTAGTCCCCAATTATTATATTCATTTCCACGAATGGTCCTTTGTTAACATTTCCGTCAAGAACGTGGATAAAATTGTAAATTCACATTCGTTTCTCTCCTCAATTAAGCTTCCTCCCTCCCCTCGCACTCCTTTTCCAAACCCGTCGCTGAGTTTGTAGCTTTGAACCCAAAACCAAAATCATCACTCTTCTCTCAATTGTTTGTCTAACAGGTGGAACCCAAATTTGAAACCAGTAACTTTCATGGATGAGTTTTAATATTTATTTTCTTTGTAATTTCTTGAGACAAACCGATAAAACTCATCCATAAAGCTTATTGGTTTGATTTTAGGTTCAATCAGGAAGACTAATAATTGAGAGAGGAATGATCATTTCAATTTTGGATTTAGAGCTTCAAACTCAGTGACGAGTTTGAGAAAGAGTACGAGAGGAGGGAGGAAGCTTAATTGAGGAGAGAGAAGTATGAATATACAATTTTATCCATGTTCTTAACAAAAACATTAACAAAGAACCATTCGTGAAAAATGATATAATAATTGGGGACTAAATCAGTAATATTTGATATGTAGGGACTAAATATGTAAAACGACCTATAACTGAGGACCTCTTATGAAATTTACTCTACTTTTTATTTTAAAAACAAAATTTAGCTAATTAATAAATACTCCCTCCGTCTCACTGTCTTTGTCCACTTACCTTTTGACACACCATCTAATGCACTTCTTTAATCCATTTTATCTTGTAATTTGTATATTAAAAAATTATAGAAATTAACTTGAAAACCCTCTTTCTCACACACTCTCTCTCCTAGCCATGGAGACTACAAGAAAAAGAAAAAAGAGGGAGACTGAAGAAGAAGAAGAAGACGGCTAGCTAGGAAACCGCACAAGAATGGTCATGCGTCGCTTTTGTGGAGTAAAGGTTTACCATCCATGTGACACAAGCTTAGCCACAAATCCAAAACCGCACAGGTATTCAGTCATGAATTATTATTCAGTCCTCAGTGGCTTTAGACTTCCCATCCACCATTTCCTCCTAGCTAGATGGAATATCCTTCTAGAGTAATTGATGTTTTAGCCTTGGATTTCTAATCCGATCCAACACCCATCAAATTATTTTCCAACTCTTCAAGTTTTTCTCCGCTCCTAATTTCTTCATCTTTCTTCCAACTTCTTCCAATGACTAACTCTAAGTTTATAATCCAAACAAAGCCTAAATCTTATGCTTTAATCGAAAAGTAATAAAGAAAAAACGTACGTACCTCCTAGTGAGCACTTGGTCTACATAATAACTAGGACCAGAACCCAGACAAGATATAACAAGAATATCTCTGTTAGTCGGCACATGAGAATGCAAGTTAAAGATGATGAGCGACGAGCTCCCAACTTTCCGACGTGCTTCTTTGACGTACGAGCGTAAGTCAAAGACATACGTGATGCCATGATGCTCTCAAATACTTGCATGAACTCCCCCATATTTGCCGGTTTCAGTGTACGATGTTTGACTAAAATTATTTTTAAATCATTTTATATGAAAATTGGTGTAAATAAAAATAAAAATTACATTTTTAAAAACTAAATCAAAGGATCTACAAAACTAATAGATCCATGATTATACTATTTTATTAAATGACTAAGAAAATTAAGGAAAGAAAGTAAATAAACTTTGACCCTATGACGGACAATTTAATTTGCAACGAGGGAATATTTAATTCAGTTCATATCAGTCTAATATGACAGGGTCATTTCCCTGCATGTGTAGAGTTGCTGCTTTAGGTTCCTTTATATGTAAATAAAATACTCTCTCTGTCCGGGAATAAGCTTCCTACTTTGAATTTTCCTTATTTTTAGTGGAGGCTTGAATAAGGCATGAAATGCCTAAGTTACCCTCCCCTTCCTTTCCCAGTCCTGCCACCATTGGGAACCCACCACAGCCTCCACCGTAGCCCCTCCCCTCCTCGCCGCCAGCCCAACCATTGCCGTTAGCTCCACCACCGATCCATTCTCCGACCATCTCCACCATCCCCCTCCACCATAATCACTCCACTCTCACCATTACCGACATAGCCCTACCATTAGATCTCAAAGAAATAAAGAATTATGAGAAAGAAATTAGAAAGAGATTAGAAGAAGATTGCAGATCTAGGCTTACCACGGACGCATCCTCACCATCGCCGCCCCCTACCATCGTCGTCGCTACCATTGCTTCCGCCACCATCGCTGCCAAGATCAGATCTGGAAGAGAGATAAGAGAAATAAGAGGAGATAAAGAAGGGAAAAGATGAAGGGGAAAAGTGAAGAAGAGGAGATGACGAAGGAAGAGAGAGGAGGAGAAAGAAGAAGAAGAAAAAAGAAAAGAAAATTGAGTGGAGGAGAGGAGAGGAGGATGAGATGACGGAGGAAGAGAGGAGGAGAAAGAAAGGAACGAAAAAAGAAGAAAAAGTGGAAGAGGGGAGAGAGTGAGAGACGACAGCAGAAAAAGAAAAGAAGGGGTAATTTAGGAAAAAGTTGTATAAAATAGTAGAATGAGAAGATTATTTTCGAACGAAAAAAAAGGTAGAGTAGGAAGTTTATTTCCAGACGGAGGGAGTATACACTTTCTCATAAAAAGCAAACCGGAGTAGCTTACTCCGTTTAGGTTAATATTTAATGAAACGAAGTAGCCAATGCGTTCCAAATAATTATTTAAGGAAACGGAGTAGCTAACTCCGTCCCTCTTTAAATCAAATTTTTTTCTTAATTTTTCAACTTCGTTCCTCAATTTTTTTCTTTATTTCTCATAATTGAAAAACAAAAAATATTATAGAAAACAACAATTTAATTACATATAATGAAACAAACAATCTACTAATAATAAAATTCATAAATAAAATAATTATTTATTGACTTTAAAAAATACACCATACACCAAAATTAAAATAAGAAATAAATCACAACAAATTTATTGATCGAGTACATATAATTTATTCATAAAAATAAGGTTACAAAACACATGGCATAACTAAATTATTTTGTGAAATTCATAAAACATAAACTTAGACCTAATTGAAATCCATGATATAGCTATTGTTCATTGCGACGTCGTCGTGGTCGGTAGTCCATGTTATTTGGATAGCGAGTTCTTGTAGGTCGACTGATTTGTGTCCTCGCTCGTGCAGTTGGTCTCACTATCTCGTATCCTGGAGTAGGCCATTCGGCCTCGTCGGGAAGCGGCATTAGGATGCCCGAATAAACGTTGATGTAGGACTGGATTGAAAAAACATTAGGAATCAAATGATCCACGGTGACACTACACTGATGACATACTGCGTGGACATGAATGCACGGAATGTGATATGTTACCCATTCTTCACAGGTACATGTTCGTACATTTAAGTTCATCGCAAATGTCTCGCGGTGACCATTGTTGGAGGACCCATCCACAACCACATAGTATATCCCTTGCTGTGCGTGGTTCACACAACACAACAATAAAGCCTATTTCCTTCATTGCCTGCAAAAGCGATCAAGATAGTACGCATAGATAAGGGGATTCTTGAAATCCATATTTTGACTCTAAATACAATAGGTGGTAGGGTCTCGAGATTCGGATACGACATCCAAACAAACTACATACATAAACAACTAATAAGATTCACATTAAAACTAAGATATACATGTATAACATTATGATATTATGAATACTCACCTCTCCCTCGAGCAATCTGTCTAGCTGGTCCCTGTATGCTCGTATGGAGTGTATGGTACAATCTGACCATTGATGGTAACACACCCATCTACAAGTGAAAGATTATGCACAACCATGAATGAAACATACTATATAATTTTATGATATACATAAATAAACTGCAAATACCTGACTCCGCATGGGACATCTACTAGATGATCCAATGGTATAACCCCTCTAGGTCTAGTCATAGGCAGACGCTCCCAAACCCAAAGATGTAACAAGACTAGACAACCTCCAATCTGAGCTGCATTCGTCGCACTAGCATGACACATACTACGGTACAAGAAACTGAGTATTGCCGAACCAATAGCACGACCTCGCAAAATGTTTGCGTCACCAATGATAATCTCTAAATGTTACAAACTAACCTTATTTCCCGACGTGTTGGGAAATAGGCTACCACCCAACAACTTAAACCTAATGGTTCTAGCATGCTGCAAGTAATCTACATCTATACTATGATTTGTTAGTTGCTTAGGACCAATGGCAGACATCTTAATCATTTTAGACGTAATATCGGATGTATGAGGCCTAAATCCCATCATGTCCTCACAAATCTGAATCCACTGATTCCTGGATCGGCCAGTCATCCCCGCCAATGGAATGTCATCTACGGGCAATCCAAGCAAAATCTCTACATCCTGCAAAGTAATTCCAACCTCTCCGAAGGGAAGATGGAATGAATGGGTCTCGGGTCTCCATCTCTCCACTATAGAAGTGATCAAAGCCAAATCTAATTGCAATCCACTAACTTTCTCCACCCCATAATATCCATATTCTCGTAAAATCTCAATCACACGAACCGGTCTATTAATAACAAGAGTCTTCGTGTATAAACTAGTACAAGTCCTGTGACACTTTAATACATTTTTAGCATATTCTTCATTCTCCCAAACCGCATCACACCTATGTTCTCCCGGTTCAATTACTAAAACATCTCGTGAAATAAGTCCCGGGTGTACATCCATTTGCTTCAAACATTACAACATAAGAATATATTCAATTAATAAAAATATAACAAGACAATTATAATTCAAAAAAATTCATGAAGTACCCAATTAAACTATATATTTGTCAATATTTTCACAAAATTCTAAATCTTGTATAGATCAACTACAACATCATGGAACAAATTTAACAAAAAAAAAAAATTACCTACGCACGAAACGGAGTAGCTGACTCCGGTCGGTTTGTCGTTCTCTCCCTCCTGCGTTTCTCCAATAGTAAACTTAAATACACTTACCACCTATGTCACGCCGCTGGCCACTGCCAGGCTGGGCAATACCTATACCTTACTACCGGCCCCAAATCCGCTTGAACGGTGCCAACCCTTCAGTAGATCCCCCCCCCCAACCCACTCCTAGCCAAGATGTCCGAAAACAGGTGGAATTTCGCCAGAAAATCAGCCCCTCCCCACTAAGTTCCCAAAAACCTAAATCAACAATCAACTCAACAAATTTGCAATGGATTGCAAGATTCATATGAATAGGATTCTAATACACAAATTAATGCTAACACTAGGTATATATAGGCCACGACTCACCTGGATGATTGAAGAATTGATATCCAGATAGAACGGGTTCGCCACTGCTGCTTAGCTTGTCGTCCCTCCCTCTCGCTGCTGTGGCTTGAGCCAAGAGGAGGAAGACCCGTCGATGGCGTCAGGTGATAGAGGAAGGATGAAGAAGAGGTATAATCGCTGGGACAGAAAGATTGCACCTGCCGCCGCCCCTCTTCGACACCTTACGCCTTCGGGGTCACCCTCATAGAAGAAAGAGGGATTCGAGATTCACCATGCCACTTCGTCGTCGCTCCTTCGTTGGCGGCGGGTGAGTATTGGTGGCCGGGGACGGATGGTGCTGGAGGTGAGAAACGAGGCATAGTCCTTTATAGATACGGACGGAGTACAGGATAAGATAAGATAAGTCCTTATCCGAAAATCTTTATGTTGATAATAAAAAAAATCTTGTTAGAATATCTTTTAGGATAAACTAGGATTTTTTTTTACAGCCTTTTAGAACAAAAGGGGTTGAATATTGACTCATTTCACATATCTTCCACATCTTTTATGCATCCTCTTTTGATAAAATTGAATAAAATCATTCTACACTTGTACAAAAAAAAATGTATCCCAAAGATATTCATTTCAAAAGAGTGCTATTATGGAGCATTTTATTTTACTCAAACCACCTAAAGTTTCCTCTTAATTATGCATTTTCAACTCTATATTTGGTGCACATCCAATAGAGTACTAGAGAATATCACGAACATCACTCTTTTTGTTGCAATCATGAATTTGAAACACGCGCCTCATAAAATTAAGATTAATGAAGAAAAGTAGTAGTGTTAGCAAGGACTCCTTAGCAGTAAAAAATCTAAAAACCAAAGAGGTTTGTATAAATGGGAACTCATTTGGCAAGGACTCCTTAGAGTTCACATACTACATGGGAACTCACGTGGAAAACTACCTTAAATCCCACATCGTGTTTGTAACCGCATTTTCTCTTCTTGAGAAATAGGTAGCCAAAGCCGTTGGATACAACAAATTTCATGATTTGGTATCTCTCTAATGGTTTGAAATTGAATCTGTTTCACATTAATATTTGGTATCATATTAATATTTGTTATTAAATGTCTGTTTCACATTCCATTTCAAATCTTAGAAAAGATTACATCTATTATGCTTTTTATGACCTTTCTTCTATTACAAACACTGATAAAATCTATTCCAGATCAATTTAGATTGGGAAACATAGTTCTTTTCGGTTTAGTTTTTATCTTTTACTCGTAAAAGTTTTTTACTTTTAGCTGCTTTCAACATTGAACTAAAAAATTTATGTGTATTTTTCTTGTTAATCTAACTTCCATCATTACAAGGCCTTGTTTGGATGTTGGCAAGCTGCAATAAAATATTCATAATTTTTAGAACATAGTTTAGTGATTCATCACCCATCATCATGTTCATCATCATCAACATCTCCTTCTGTCTCCTCCTTCAATCGAACCCCCACTCTTCCCCTCCCTTTTCCTTCTTCTCTTTTTTCTTCTTCCAGTTCTAATATTATTATTATTATTATTAAATTATGACTATTATTTATTATTAGTCAATTATTATTATTATTAATTAGTTGTTTTACTAAACATTTTTTTAGAAAAATACCCTTTTAGTTCAAATTAAAATTGTCTATATTTTTTTGAAACAAATAAAAGATGAAAAGCATATCATGGATATGCTTTTGTAATATTCCTAGACATTTGGAGAGCTAGGCATGTGAAGATTAAGCAAGATAAATATGTGGCAAGTGAAGAGTTGTTGAATGGATCGAGTTTCAAATTAAATCATATATTAATGCAAAGATGAAAAGCATGTATTTGAACTGACTTTGGAGTAGAAACTCTTGTAGAATTGGGGGTTTTGTATAAGTACTGTTTGGAGTTAATAAATTTGCACTTTTGTTTCAAAAAAAAAACAATGAAATCCAATAAAATATGTTTTGAAAAGTTTTCATATATTTAACCAAAAAAGACTAACATATTTCATTAAATGATATTCTTAAATGTATATAAAATATTCAAAAAATGAATGTTTTTTTAAAAATCTCTGTATTTTATATTTTAGTTTGAAGAAAATAAAAGCTAATTATAGGATGATTGATATATAGAAGTATATACCTTTGTTTGATTCATTTTCCAAAGGCCTTTTTGTTCTGAATTTTACAGTTTTATTCAGCTTCCTCATTTTTCAAGTCCCTGAATATTGTGCTCATATTAGTAAGCATTAGAATAGTCATATGATAACATAAGAAGCCAATTAATTTTCTTTATTTGTTTTGTAATAATACTCTATTCTAGAAGTCCAACCATTTATAATACTCCAAAAATATGTTTTTCCAAGATAATGTACTCATGGAAATATTATGATTTAGTCATGTGATAAGATAAGAACCCAAATCTAAATTTCTTTGGTTTAAAGATTAATCAATGGTAGAAGATTACAAAAAAATTGTCATAAACAATCTCATTTAATATAGAAAGATTACCTCTTTGAAAGTAGCTTTGAAGTCTTTGTAGGAGGTTGTTGAAAAAGGTTGTCCTTAACAACAACCTTCACTTTGACGCATTGAATAAAGAGGGTAGAGATGATAGATTTGGTAGTTGGTTGAGAGTAAAAATGTGTTAATGCAAGAGAGAAGTTCCTATCATATTTAAAGTAGTCATTTATTTACCAATGGATTGGAAATTCGTGTACATAGGTAATGTTGAGGCATTAAACACTTGAGCTTAGAGCACTAAATGCACTACATAGCAAGTGGTATAGGTTCGTGGCTCAAGACTAAGTCTTGATAATTATTTGAGCAATGTGATTATTATATTGGAGCTACGCACAACATAAGTGAATGAAGGGGTGGTTTGCCATTGGGATACACGAAGGTATACCACTAGCTTCGTGTAAACCAAACAAATGAATCCACTCGATTTTGTGAAGTTTTTTTAAGTAAAATTTTCAAGTTTTTATTTAAATGTTGTATTTTTTATTATAACTTTAATACGAAGTTTTTCAGAATCCATATTAAAGTATAAAAGTTTTTACAAAATTCTTTTCATAAATTGTATTTTATTTTTTTAAAACGTCTTACATTTTTCGAATAAATTGATAAGGTGTGAATAAAGGTGTATTAATTCACCAAGGCTCACCGGAGATGATATAAACACTCATGGGTAGTGCATTTAATGCACCCCCTCGAAGTGATATAGGTGTTTGGCTCTAAGTATTGTGTTGAAAAGAAATATAAGAAAGGTTATTAATTTTTGGAATTATAGAAATATGAAAAGGAAAGCATTAATTAATGAAATTATGACTTATCTTTTCACTTCGTTTCTCGAGATGAAAGGCATAATTTCTATACTTTTTCGTGGCTCAATGTAATAAATTACTTGCACATAGTTCTTTTGTTCAAAGTACACAATCATGAAAAGGAAAGCATTAATTAATGGTTCCTAGACTTGTCCTTTCAGTTGGTTCTCAAGATCAAAGCCATCATTGTTTAAGTTTTTAGTGGCTCTAGGCAATAAAATACTTGTAAGATTAATTATATGATTTTCAAATGGTTCTAAGAATTCATTTGGTCAGACAATAATTGGTAATTTTTTGAATGTTTCAATAGGCCATTAGGAAAACATATATCTCAAGACATTAGTTACATTCATTTATTATTTTTTCGTGCTTATTAAAGGAAAATAAAAAAATTATGAATTTTCAAAATATTGTCCGGTGTTTATAAAAGAAAATTTTCAAAATCAATTTTTTTTTAAAAAATGAGTTCAAGGTGTACTTTTTATTAATTTTTATTGTTAGAATATGCTCGTTTTTTAAAATAGATGAGTAATAGTTACGTTAATCGATGTGAATTCAAGGGTAACTCGAATTTTTCAACAAATGTTTGGTGTAATTTGTTAAAAAAAATTTATTGTCGCGTGTTTGTAAAAGAAAATATTCCAAAATGAAGTATTTTCAAAAATGAGTTCAAGGTGTACTTTTCGTTACATTTATCATTGGAATATGCTTGTTTTTTAAAATCGATTTTTAATGGTTACATTAATCCTTGGTTAAAACCCAAGGCCTACTCGATGTTTTCAAAAAAAAAAAATGGTGTAACTTGTAAAATTAAATTTTTTAATTAAGTAAGCAATTCTTTCACCAAGTTGAAAGGGAAAGCAAAAAATAATGGTATTATGACTTGCCTTTTCAATTGGTTTCTCGAGATGAAAGACATAATTGCTATATTTTTTCGTGGCTCAATGTAATAAATTACTTGCACATAGTTTCTTTGTTCAAAGTACACAATCATGAATAGGAAAGCATTAATTAAAAGTTCCTAGACGTGTCCTTTCAATTGGTTCTCAAGATCAAAGCCATCATTGTCTTAAGTTTTTAGTGGCTCTAGGCGATAAAATACTTGTAAAATTCATATAGCCAGACAATAATAGGTAATATTTAGAATTTTTCCACACGCATCTAGGAAAACATATATCCCAAGACATTAATAAGATTCATTTATTATTTTTTTCTTGTTTATAAAAGAAAATTAAAAAGATTATGAAGTTTCAAAATACTGTCTAGTGTATATAAAAGAAAAATTTTCAAAATCAATTTAAAAAAATTGAGTTCAAGGTGTACTTTTTATTAATTTCTATTGTTGGAATTTGCTTGTTTTTTTAAAATAGATTAGTAATGGTAACATTAATCCTTGGTTAAAACCCAAGGCCTACTCATAATTTTCAAAAAAAATTGGTGTAACTTGTAAAATTGATTTTATTAATTAATTAATAACAAATCCTTTCACCGAGTTGAAACGGAAAGCAAAAAGTAATGGTATTATGACTTGTCTTTTCAATTGGATTTTCGAGATGAAAGGCATAACTACTTACCTTTTTCGTAGCTCAATGTATTCAATTACTTGCACATATCTCCATTGATTGAAGTACATAATTTTAATAAGAACTAATTATTTAAAGGTATTATGAGTTGTCTTTTCGTTTGGTTTCTCAATATAGAAGCCATAATTGTTTTACTTTTTAGTGGTTCTAGGCAATAAATAACTCAACTTTTTCGTGTCAGTCATTGAAGTATATATATATATACTTATTTCAAATATGAATTCACGTTTTATGAGTAATTGTTACGTTAATCGTTATGAAATCAAGTAGAACTCAAGTTTTTAATAAATCTGTGATGTTATTTGTAATACTTAATTGTTTAAATATTTTCAAGTTGCTCTCGATAAAAGATGTTATTTATATGGTATTGTAGATCATTAATTGTTTAAATATTTTCAAGTTGCTCTCGGTAAAAGATTAGTTAAAGGTAATATGAGTTCAAGTATGAATTCTAGCTTAAGTCGATAGTAATTACAAGTATATTTAAATATAATCACGTGGCTCTAGATGATATTTTTGAGAAAATTTCTTTAAAAGAAGTTGATGATTTAAGAAAAGTTTTTCCCGCTTGAACGATCCAAAAAGATATTTGAAGAAAAACCTACATTAACGCAAAAACTTTTTCTAGTCCTCTTTGATAAAATGTAGTTGTGTTGTAGTATTTATCATTACTTATTATTTTAAAAATGTTGTTTTAGTTTTTTCTCATTCGTATACGTAACCTTATAATAAACTTGACTTCTTGATTTTCGAAACTTAAACCAAAAATAAACACACAAAATGTTGCCAAGAATTAAGCAGGAAATAAAGTAAAAGTTGTTTCCCAAAAACAACGGGAAATAGTTTTGTTACATGCCATGACAAAAAAAAGTGTTTTGTGGACATGGTGAAAGATAGGACAAAAAGATCACATATCAGCCCAGAACCTTATTTGAGTCCACAGTAAACATTTGGCATTCTTGAAGATGATCAATCTTCTTTTCAACCTTGATTGCTTTGAGTCTATTCTCTTGTTTGTCACTTGGATTCTCTTCAAATAGTCTTCTCTTGATTGGATCGTCTGCCTGTATTATATCAGATCCAATTCATTGACTATTAATTATTTCTTTTCGACTCAATGAAATTTGGTGTATATATCTTTTTGTTTTTATACCCAAATTTCTTCCTCCAACGTAATAAATAAATTTTTAATGACATTGTTAATTAAAATATTTGATGTACGCAAATAATAACATAATAACTGATTTACTTGTATACTATATCATCATTGATAAAATAAGAATAATTTCTTAATGAAAAAGTAATGGAATTGAAGAAACATACTTGATCATCATGGAAAATAACCTCCATTGATTCATTAATTCTACCAAATGAACTTATTTCGTACACACGGATTGCTCTCGCATGAATGGCCACCGAGGTTCGATGTTTATCAATATCGGCAAGCTTGGTCCACAACCCAGATGAAACTGCATGCGACGACATTTTTTTTATCTTGAATGGTCTTTGATTTGGTTATTAAAAGTGGAGATAGTGTTGCTTTTATATTCCAAGGATGTTCTTTTAAAATAGTAAACGAGATTACATAATCTGCAATGTATAATTTCACTTGGCTCAATAAAGTGCTTTTTCTCTGCCCCATTGTCATATATACACACTAATCAATAAAGTACTTTTTCTCTTCCCCATTGTCATACACACTAATCAATGCAGGTAATTATTATCACATTCCCCCATAAAGCATTATTTTCATAAGCAAGCCCATTAATTAGCCATTTCATGTTTACTACATTTGCTTTGTATAGATAAAGATTTTTCACCCTTAGGTATTCTAATTTATTTTCCAGTTTAGGACTTATTTATTTGAATGTTGGTATAAGATTAAATTTATTACTCCCGAGTATAGAATTTTTTTCATTTTACATTGAATTCTCTAGAAAAACAATTGGGGGCAGTATTTACCAACTGTTATTCTTTTATGTATCAACAGTATCTTTGGTCATTTTTTCCTTGGATCCACCATTGTTAAAATGAACCCAATTATAATTTACACGACTCTTAATATTCTCTTCATTCTCTCCATCCAACAATGTTTGTTGATATAACTATTACTGTCTTTCGATAATTTTTTTGTATATTTTCATTGATAATTTGATATTTTGATGTACTTTTGAACAGTATTATTGCACCCTAATCCGTGCAGGTCTGCAAGCCCTCCAAACTAAAGTGTTAACTTAGTAACATAAACATTTAAAAAAATTTCAAACAGTTTGAACTTTATTTCATTTTAAAATACTCATAACATTAAGAGGGTCTCATAAATTATATTCGTAGAAGCTTTAAAGAAGTAATTTCACATCACAGTCACAAAATGCAATTAATTCATTCTAAATATTCATTAAACAGCTTGAAAATCATCACAATCCATCACGACATATCGTCCCCATCTGCCTCCAGGATCGGGTCACATCATTTTTTTGTTTACCTTCGTGTAACAAATAAAACATACTACACACTCAGCGGCAAACCTGCGTAAGGATATCTAATGCATTGAACATCCACATAAATTTAATTTATAATCAAATCATTTGATATCATGCACATAATATTCAATTCAAAAATTCAATATTCATAATATCAACAGTGTTCTTAAACTACTCCTAGTCTAAGGCCAAATCATAACAATTTTCTTAAACTAATTTTAGTCTAAGGTGAAATTCATATTTTCTTAACCAGACTCTTAAACTATGGTTAGTTTAAGGCTATTCCATTTTATTAACATTGTCAATAATTGAATCGGAAAAGGGGTAGCTCTGGGTAGTAGAACATTGTACTCGTAACAAAATCATGTGTGGCATGATTTTAACAATAGGACAATGGGGTGGGACACAGAAGTCGTAGATCCAAAAAAATAATTACAATACTCTCTAATTTTGGTTTTATAATTTATTTGTGTCAATAGATGAATAGGAAAGGGGTAGCTTGGGGTAGTAGTACATTGTACTCGGAAAGAAAATCATGTCTGGCATGATTTAACAATAGGACGATGGGGTGGGACACAGAAGTCGGATATCCAAAAATAATTACAATACTTTCCCATTTTGTTTTTAAGATTTATTTGTGTCAATACTTGAGTAGGAAAAGGGGTAGCTTGGGGTAGTAGTAACTTGTACTCGTAAAAAGAGCATGTGTGGCATAATTTAACATTAAGACAATGGGAAGGAACACAGAAGTCGGATATCCAAAAAAAATAATTACAATACTCTCCCATTTTGTTTTTAAGATTTGTTTGTGTCAATAATTGAATCGGAAAAGGGGTAGTTCGGGGTAGTAGTACATTGTACTCGTAAACAAAATCATGTGTGGCATGATTTAACAATAGGACAATGGGGTGGGACATATATCCAAAAAAATAATTACAATGCTCTCTCATTTTATTTTTAAGATTGTTTGTATTAATAATTGAATAGGAAAAGGGTAGCTCGGGGTAGTAGTATATTGTACTCATAAAAAATCATGTGTGACATGATTTAACGATAGAACAATAGGGTGGGATACGCTATTGCTAACTTTGTTCATTATAACAGTTTACATGATAGGTATAAAGGTTTTTTAGGAGCTGTTAATGCCAGTGCTGAGCCAAAAAAATTTCGGGAAGCAGTGCAATTTGCTTCCTGGCCCGAGGCCATGGCGCAGGAATTATTGGCTTGGAGCGTAATCACACGTGGAATATCACTGATATCGTCGCACATTGGGTTATCAGTGGGTTTATGGAACTACGCACTGTTGTGATGGTAATAAAGAGCGTGACAAAGCCAGGTTGGTTGTTCTTGGTAATCATCATGAATTCGGGACTGATTATACTGATACTTTTGCTCTTGTGGCTAAATTTGCCACGGTGCGCAAAGTATTTTCTGTTGTTGTTGCCAGTTCATGGGAAGTACACCAATTGGATGTTAATAATGCATTTTTTCATGGTGATCTAAAGGAGGAAGTGTACATGAAACTTCCTCTGGGTATACTAGGGCCTACCCAGGGAAAGTTTGTCGCCTACGAAAGTCTTTATAGGGCCTTTTTCAGTCTCCACATCATGCTTTGAGGAACTATGGGTTCTGTCAGGCTCATGCTGATCATATCTTTTTATATGGCGTCGTGGTTTGGTTATTCTAGTTATTTTAGTTTATGTTGATGACATTCCTTTGGTAGGCAATAATTCTTCTATTTGTGCATCCTTCAAAAAGTATTTTAATGATTGTTTTCACTTGAAGGATCTTGGTCCGGTCTCTTATTTTTTGTGGATTGAGTGTGCACGTTCCAAAGAGGGCGTGGTTTTGAAACAACGGAAGTATGCTTTGGACATTATTCAGGTGGCTGGCTTATCTGGTTGCAAACCTGTGGACAGTCCTATTCAGCCTGGCCATAACCTTGTCATGTCCCGTAGTGCTAAGATACGAGACCCTACGAAATATCGTAAACTTGTTGGTCGTCTGTTGTATCTTACTATTAGTCGTCCAGATATCTGTTTTTCAGTTCATGTTCTATCACAATTCATGCAGACTTCGTGTGTTATTTGGTACTTGAAGGGGCATCCTGGTTAGGGTATTCTATTGCATAGTGACAGTAATCTTGTTCTTACATCTTATTCTGATTCCGATTGGGCAAGTTGCCACTCACTCGTCGGTCTTTCACAGGTTACTTCATTATGTTGGGTGGTTCGCCGATATCTTGGCATTCTAAAAAGCAAACCACAATTTCTCGCTCTTTAGCTAAAGTCGAATATCGTGACATGGCGAACACATGTAATGAGATCCGTTGGATACGTAGTCTATTGGCGGCTCTCATGGTCCCATGTGTTGCTACTCCGAGGTTATATTGTGACAATATGTCCGCTTTGTTTATTGCTGTGAATCTAGTCTTTCATGAATGTTCTAAGCATATTGAGATCGATTTACATATCGTTCGTGAATGTATTCAACGCAAGCACGTTTCTACCGCCTATGTTCCTACGAAGCTTCAAGTTGCTGATCTATTTAATTACAAAAGCGATATCTGGTCCTCTATTCCATTTCTTACTCTCCAAGTTGGGCATTCTGGATATTCATGCACCAACTTCGAGGGGGAGTATTGGAGTAAATTCTTGTATTTATTGTTTTTCCATATATACATGCATTTCCTTAGATAGATTTAGTAACTCATGTACTATATATACGGTTTCATGTATCAATGTAAAGCACAAAAGTTATTTCTAAAAGTCTACAATAAATCTTGTGATTTTTTTCCGATAACAAGGTATAAATTCTTTTTTTGCAAAACAACATTTCAAAAGCTGTGAAAATGGCACAACATTTTTTCCTGATATAGAACAATTTTTTTATAACTCACAAAAAATTTTCTTTCATGAGAAGCATTCCATAATAGCTGATAATAAAAAACTAAATAGGTAATACCCCATGTTATATAGACTCAATTATAGAATTACTCGTTTTTCTTGAGTGATATTTTGAATTGTTGTTTGACAATCCACTATTATATTTCCCCCAAACAAAAATACAAGATTTGTAAACTGTTATGCTTTTAAAAGAGTGAGACAAATCTCTTACAAGAGTGTTTTGTTATCATAGTTTTAAAATTAAAACTTGTAAAAATCGAAAGAAAAAAATTTGCCTCAATAACCTCACTTTTTACTTATTTGCACAAAATAGGCCTTTTCTTATAAAAATATGTTAACTAACCGTTAGCATTTAACGGCGACCCAGAACTCATATACACACAAAAAGGTGAGATTATTACGCATGATAATAGAAAGTGAGATTATTTTTGGAAGATCGCAAAAAAGTTAGAATGTTTTGCATAATTTTTGCAATTAAAAATGTAAATACCTCTAATGGAACGGAGGGTATATTAAAATAAATTTTTTATTATTACTGAAATAGTAATAATAATAAAAATAATAGTAAGTATTATTTAATCATATGTATATGTATCATTATTATTATTTATTTGTATAACATTATAATAGAAACTATTACTTAACTATATGCAACATTATATAATATAACATTCCAACAAAAAACATGATTAAATTTTATAATTCAAAATAAGAGCAAATTCTCTAAACAGTCCTTTATAATTGGGGGGTTTCCATATTTACTCCATATTTATCAAATATTATGAAGAAATCCTTGTAGGTAACACTACAAAACCACCAATATTACATAAATAACACTCCTTTAGTTTTTTCATATACTCCCTCTGTCCACAAATAAACTTCTCGTTGCGCATTATGATATTTGACTGAAATTATTTTCAAATCATTTTATCCGAAAAATGGTATAAAATTTAAAAATAAAAATTACATATTAAAAAACTATATCAAAATATCTACAAAACTAGATGTGACATGACTATATTGTTTTATCAAATGGGTGACGAAAATAGGCCAACAAAGTGAATAAAGTTTGACCCTGTGAATAGTGAAAGGGAAATTTATTTGTGGACGGAGGGAGTATGAGAATTCTAGCATGAAGGCATTCTAATTATACTCTTTTAATAACTTTTTTTACTTCCTTAATT